TTATTTAAACAAAATATTGCTTTTAAACATTTTTATATATTATATTTCGTTTTCACTTCGTGGTAAAATTTCAATAAAACATTTGACGATTGATTTTTTTATTAACAAAAAAGATATTAAAAAATACAAAAAGAAAATTCCTAGAAATAAAATAAAAGAAAAAACTTTTAATGAACGATGAACGATGAAGGATGAGTAAAAGAAAGTTGTTAGTAATTTAACGTTTCTAGCATTATAAAGGAATTACTCACAGTTCTTAGTGAGGCAGGTGAGTTCCAAGGTGGTGCATTTATATCGATGTCTTGACTCAAGAGTGGGTACGATGATACCAATGGCAAAGCTCGAGTCTTTCTCGTGGTAGCATACAATCGCGTCGCATTCCTTTCCATCTGTAAATGCACGAGAGAGACGAGTCAGGAACTTTTATATATACTATTATATACATGTTTACATCTAGAGACGCGTGTCTTTCTATGTATGCATTTATGCACGCTATGTGTTACATATACGTATATGTGAATATACGTTCAACGTACCAGAGTATATATATATACGTTGTATTTTGCAATCAGAACAACGTGTGTCATCGTACGCGTCTAATAAAACTTTCCTGAAGAATAAATCTTTTACCTTATTTCTTTTTCCCTTTTTTTCTGTTTTTTTATTTTTTTTTATTTTTTTACTTCACTCGTTCCTGACGCATAGTAATATGTTTCATGTTTTTTCTTTTTTCTCGTCAGATTTCTTTTTATACCTTTTTAGGTGCCAATCTTTGACTAATTGTAAAAACACATACGATGTAACACGATAATATATTTTTTTTCATTAATCTGGATTTTTGTCTTTTTTTTCTATTAATTTTCATAATAAATTATATAGTTATTCTCATATAAATGTAATATTTTAGTATTAAAGGTAATAATAGTTTATTGTTATATGTTTTACATTTTAAGGACTACAATATATAAAAAGTCAAGAAAATAATAAAATTACAATAAATTACATTATAAGAAACTTAAAAGTAAATTAAAAAATATAAAACAAAATAATGTAAAATAAATATGTACCTACATTGGTTAAAAAATAAGAGATATATATTTAAAAAATAGAATTTATATATTTATATATATCATTACATAAATATATAATTATATGATTATATAATTATATTATATATATAATTATTTATATTATATATATATATATATTCTCGCATTTATTCGAGTACTAATAGATAAGTTTCGATAATGACAAATAAATAATATTTAATATGGATAGTGAATCAAAATTAATGATTTATAGTTTTTAAATATACATAATATTAAAATGAAAATTATTGTTTTATAAATTATAATTGTTAGTAAAATTCTTTTAATTATTATTAGTATTAGAGTTATGCTTCTATGGCAATTGTCTATTTGAGATTCTCGTTTAGTTCCATCTTCTTGTTTCCTCCTTCTCGCGTAATTTGTTTCTTATCTTTTAGTCTTAAGATTTCTTTTAGTCTTTTCTCTTTTAACTTCTTTTATCCATCTTTAATCTTTTTTAGTCCGTAATTCGGGTTCATATTCGTAAAGATAAAATTAAATGACTTGATATATTTCTGTAAATAATAAAATGATAACTTTTATTAATTTATACACGCGTTCGAAATTATACAAGAATAAAATAATAAAGAAAAAACAAAAAGAAAAAAACAAAAAAACAAGAACAAAAAGAAAGTTATTATTATTATTTAAGATGGACAAATTATGACAACGATTTCGATCGAAGTTTAATACCTTTGACTGTCACAAAAAATTGTACAAGGCTTTTGTTTTGCTATATCAACACGAATTACTTTTTATCATGCGTTATATTATTACATTATGTTGAAATATTGTTTACAACAGATAAATTGAAGTGTGTGTGTGTGTGTGTGTGTGTATGTCATCATGTGCAACGCATTTATATCTTACTAAGGATCACCGGCGTTGAATGCATTTTATCTGTTTTAATTCGATTAAATAAAATGCCGAGATAGTGCAATTGAGGATTACTTTTTTTTCACGAGCGAGTAGCCTATTGGGGGAAATGAAATTATTAAAAATATTCCAGGAAAAAATGGTAAAATATATTACGAAAAAAATTCAACGAATCTTAACATATTCGCGACCGCTGACGTGAATTCTCACGTCTTTTCAAGTTCTATTCCTAATTATCGCTGACGTGAAATTCACGTCATTTTAAATTTTAAAAATTTAATATAAATAAATTTTTATAATATTTAAATAATTATATTTTATTAAATTATTATATTTTATTATTTAAATATATATTTAAATAATTCGTAATTTTTGCCGGTATTCAGTATTAAAAATGGAAAAAATATGCCGGTCGCGAATATGTTAACATTAGAAGAGGGTGACAAAGAGGCAAAACAAAAAGAAAAAAATCTAAAAGCATTAAAATTTACAATATGTGTTTTTAGTAATCCTGATTTCGCAGGTCAACTGGTGGATTCTTTCTAAACTCCCAACCCTCCCTACCATGACATTCGACGCGTTGCAAAACGTTGCACGTGTAAAAACGTTGCTGCTTCCGTTGGGTTACTTCTTTTTTTTTCTTTTCTTGCATCTATAATATTTATCCTTTTTATTTGGTTTTTTTTTCTTTTTTTTGATTTCTTTTAATACCGGCTCGTTTCTTTCGCGACGACATGCCATAAAAATAAGCATGCTTCTTTCTCGAGGGATGAATAATGACGCGTTGGAGGCGCGTGAGTCGAATCTTTTTCGAGGAAACGTGCGAACACGAAAGAGTATCCTCCCTATAGCTAAGAACCCTCCCTCTTTCTCCTCCTCCTCCTCCTCGTACATGATAACTCGGATCATAAATAACCATCCACTTACTTTTTTTCCTTTATACTATTATATATATATATATTTTTTTTTTTTTTTTTTTAATGAAATAAAGAAACAAAAAAAGAAAAGAAAACAATATAACTAAATGTATAATAAAGTTAGATATCGATCAACGTTTTTCATTTTAATTGGCATTATTTTAATATCGTGTATTTTTAATTCAAAGATATTAAAGAGAAATAATAAAAGAGATGAAATGAATATTGAAAAGTTATCTACCGATCTTATAGAAATTAAGATCACAATCTGTTAATCTCTCTTGAGTAATAATAGGTTTCAAATGATAAGATAAAAGAAATAAATAAAAAAAAGAAGAAATATTTTACGCATACACATAGTAGTTTATAAATTTAACTTATAAATATAAAAATAGAAACTTGAAGTTTTTTTTTAACGAGTATACATCTATTAAATTATTCTATTTAGAAAGTTGGATGGTTAAATCGATAATCATCGCGTTCGTGACAAATGCATACGACGATTGCCATGAGTTTTTCTTTTGCATGCGTTTAATAATTTAAAAAAAAAAAAAACATAAAAAAATACAAAGAAAAGAAGTTGAAGCAAAAACAACAAAAATAAAAAGAAAAAAAACGAAATAGAAGAAAGTTTAAGAAGAAAAAAAAACTTGCGAATAAAATCGAACCGGGCAAAAAAATTTTTATTTTTTCTGATATCAGTGTGTTCTATCAGTTAGCTAAGATTTTTCAAGTAAATACATAAATATTACATGCATTAGATTTGCATTCGTATATAAGTATATGCATAATATAATTGATATACACCAGGGGTCGGCAACCTTTTGAGTCCGAAGAGTCAAAAATTACAATTATAATTTACAAAATTTCAAAGTTTTTAAAGAGCCACAAAATTTTTTCTTGCCGATAATAAATAGTACTCGCATAAATAAAGTTTTTTGATAAAAAAAAACAAATCTATTTATTCATCGGTGCCTAATCCTCGTTCATCAATTCAGAACGATTTTTAAATGTTTTTTTTTTTTTTAAATAAAATAAATAATATTTGCGTATGGAACTAAAGAGCCGCAGTTTCACATCCAAAGAGTCATATGTGGTTCGCGAGCCGCAGGTTGCCGACCCCTGATATACACACATACACACATATACACACATTTTTTAAATATGTATATATATATATATATATATTTATATAAATATTTATTATGTAATAAATATATAACAAAAAAAAGCTTAAATGGGTTGCATTTCAATCTTCCGTCAAAATCGGAACAAACTTTCAGGATAACCCAATATATTATAACTATATTAAAAATAAATTTTATAATATTAATATTATTATATTAATTTATAATTAAAATAAATTAAAATTATAATATTGACTTATAATATTATATATAAATATATATATATGTAGACTGTATATATAGATATATATTCTGGAAGGTTGGCACAGAACACAATTGTGAGAACCGGCCCTTGCGAATCGACAAGTACAAACAAACGAAGGAAGGGAAAGAATGAAAGAGAGAAGGAAAAAAGAAAGGGTGGTGATGGTGGTGGTGGTGGTGGTGGTGTACGCGAGTTTCCGAGTAATGTCGAGAAAATTGGCGCGTAATTGTCACGATGGCTACAATTCAAGACGGCATCTTCTTCGCCATTGCCAACGTCGCTGAAGAAGAAAGTCGCTGAAACTTTAATGACGGATGTCACGACGACCCGTCCTGTTCCAAGAATTCCCATAAACGTCCCAGTATTTTCCAATCGTCTTTTGTTGCCAGTAAAATGGTAAGAGAGAGAGAGAAAGAGAAATAGAAAGAAGGGAGGAGGGAGAAAGAGATAAAGAGAAAGTTAAGTTCTTTTAATATTCACTTTTGTGCAATGATAATAATAATATTAATATTAATAATAATAATAATAATAATAATAATAATAATAATAATAATAATAATAATAATAATAATAACAACAACAACAATAANTAATAATAATAATAATAATAATAATAATAATAATAATAATAATAACAACAACAACAATAATAATAATAATAATAATAATAATAATAATAATAATGATGATAATGATGATGATGATGATGATGATGAAAAAAGGAAGAAAAAAATTGTTATATTAAAGTGAAATATGTTTAGTGTTTGAAATAATACTTAAAATATAATAAATCATCGTTGGCTTTAAATTCAATGTAACAGACTATTATATATTCAAACTACGACTTATGTAACAAATTATTACGTATTCTAAATAAGACTTATACAATAAACCAGAACATCCCCCACTTCGTTTTGTTACAACAGGTGACTACACTATAGTTGTGTTCACAAAGGTGAATACACGTACAATAAGCGCGCCAATGTTAGATTATTGATGGTTTCTTTCGACGTTCTTTCAATTTACATTCTGAATGAAAATACAAGACTTCAGTTTCGCAAATTTCTCTTGCGCAATCTATTTGTTCAAAAGCAGACCAATCTATAATAAAAAAAAAAAAAATGAAACAAATGATTTCTTAATCGTTCGAACGTGTTTGACAGGATAAATAGATTTATTGTTCAATTAATGTTTTATTTCAAAAATATATATTTTTTTAATTTTTATCAAAGACGATATAGAAAAAACGGAAAAATGAAATAGCTAGTAGTTTTAGCAATGACAGTTTACGATTGATTTATGTTCAATAATGTATACACATTAGGGTGGGTCAAACAAATCAATTATTTTTTTTTTTGCAAGTGCTACGGAAAATGGGTTGCTAGACACCTTAAAAGAATTCTCACCAAATATGAGCTCTTAATTTTAATAGGAAGATCCTCCGCATCGCAGTTTTTTATTTTTTTTTCAGTATAATAGATTAAAATTCATACCTCATTATTTATTGATTGTACAGAAAAGTGTTCTAGAAGAATTTTGTAGGAAATTTAATGCTCTACAAAACAGGTATCTTATATTTTTTCCGYAGACCTCACCATTTGAATGATATTGAAGAATTAAATTTGATTATTTTAAGACAAATTTCATTTTTGTTTATGAATTTTATAACTCGACAATAAATGAGTATTATAAAATGCGCAATACAAATTTTTGTAGGAAATTAACTGCTCTATAAAAATGGTGTCTTATGTTTTGGCGATTAAATTAAGCGTTCAAAAGATATTCAGAGACAGAAATCAGTACACATGAAAGTTTGATGATGAATATATATATCTACCGTACAAAATGATAAGACCGATAAATAGAAAAAATTATTAAATGAAAATAAAATAGTCATCTACGATAATTTATAATTATGAATGAAAGGAAACACAACAAATATATTTACCGAATTCAAATATTTGTCTATATTTTAAAACATTTGTTCGTCTTAATTAAAAAAATTTTTAAGTATATCTTAGATTAAAATTGGATTTTCAATGTCTTTACTAATTTACATATAAAGCCAACTGTAAGATCTTCCTAATTTATTTCAAGTTTGACGTAAACGAATTAATAAAAAGAAAGAGATGAAAAGTCAAAGAAATGAAGGAAAATAAAGATCATGAGTGAGAGAAAGAAAGTAAGAAAAAGAAACAGAGAGAAAAAGAGAAAGAGAGAGAAAGAAAAGGGTGATAGAGGGGGGGGGCTGCTAAGGAAGATCGGAATATAGAGAAAAGTCCAAGATGATGCCAAAAAAGTTTAAAAGTTCGTCTTAAGTAGTAGTAAAACGAGATCCGGTTGTCTATCTTTCTCTCTTTTTTTATTCTCTTTCTCTCTCTTTCTTTCTTTCTCTCTATCTTTCTTCCTCTTTACGGTAACTTTAATCTCACGGCTGACCTGAGAAAGCTCGCACGAATAAAAGTGGAAGGAAGGATGGTTTAGTTTGGCATTGTGGTGGTATCGCAACCCGACTAGTACTAAAAGAAGAAAAAGAAGAAGAAGAAGCAGGAGAAGAAGAAGGAGAAGAAGAAGATGGACAAAGAAGGGAAAGGAAAGGAAAGGATAGTTAGGAGGGGGAGGAGGTCTTGGACAGGGAAAGAAGAAGAAGAAGAAGAAGAGGCCATAGAGGAAAGGATTGTCGATGCTTCGTGCACGGTAATTAAGAAGCGCAATTAAGGGTCTCGAAGTAAAAAGTGCCGCTGATAATTACCGTCCTTCTCGAGGCGGGCAAATTTGTCGCGAAGGTAAAGCAGCAGAGGTAACCAACAACGGGCATAGAAGGCAACAGCAGAAAGTAGAAGTACCAGACTCAGAACGGTGATAAGTAAAGGCTTCCTCCATAAATTGCTTGGAAGTTCAAACGTGAATTGTGGCTCTGTAAAAAAAATCATTGACAAAAATTATATTAATATATATATCTATATATATGATTTTTTCTTAATTTTTACAAAATTCGACAACGTTTTATTGCAAAGAAATTATTTATACACCATGGGTACAGAGAGTCGAAAAAATTTGGAAACTGTGTTGAACAACATGTGTATTATATATACTTTTGAAAATATTTTACAAATTTTTATATTTAATTAAAAATGATCTATATACGTACTTCTTATATAATCTTTAACTTTTTTTCTTCGTCTTTTATATTTATATACATCCTTCTGAACGAAAGGATTAATCTTTTTATCAAAAATTGTAAAGAATTAACATCTTGTACGTATACTTTGACATATATATATATATATGTTTATTTTCTTGTAAATTATTTTTGTTTTTCTCATCCATGGTAATATATTCATCTCTAACTTTAATCTTTCTCACTCTCTCTTTTGTGATAATTCTCGGATAAATAGAATCAACCAACGTGTACGCCATTTGCATACGATTATAATTTACAAATATGCAACGTTTACGAGCCTAAATCATTGTCTGGGTATATATATATATGGTTGTCTATTATATGCGTGTAAATGTGTATATAGATATACCTAAGTTATATGTACAAGTATATATAAGATACATAAGATCGGATTAAAGGATGCACAAACTTCGTCAAAGGAATTTACGAGTTTATGTTTACGGGCTCCGTGCGAAATCTACGACGTTAACGTACGCCTTTGATGCGAACGTAAAAGATTATATCTACAGTCTTGTTCAAAACTTGTGAACGTGCATTTAACGTATTATTAAATTGTACAATATATTTCATTGGATTATTTTTATAATATAATTAAAAATTAATAAAGAATATTATTTTATCTTTCATATTGTAATCAAATATTATCTACAATTTTGTTGTTGTTATTATTATCATTTGTTAAAGATTAAACAATAGTTACCTTTACGATAAATGTGAGCAGGAAAAGCCATAACTTCATCGAGACCATTGCTAATTTCGCAAACATATTCGCCATAATCTTCCACAGACATATCTTTGATTTCCAGATAGCTACCGATGATTTGATTGTTTTCCCTGTAAACATAATTTCGATTATTATTCATTAGGATTAGTGATAAATTAATCTTTATATTCGTGTAAAATCATTACACGTTAAATATATAAAATATATGTATATTCAATTTTATCGTTTAACATTTCACTTATAATTAGATTGTTCTTTTTAAAGGATAGTTGAAAACTTTGAAGAACAAAGTAGTAATTATATCATATATCAGATGAGTCAAAAATATCTATCTGATTTTAAAAATAAATTATTTTGTTTAATTCCCTTTAAAATTTCGTCAATCCTATTCTTTTTAGAATATAAAATAACCAGTTAAGAACCTTAGGATTAATCTAAAAAATTTTTTTCCAATCAACGTATAGTTGTAATTACAACTAAATATGTAAAAATGTTATTATATAGTAAGACAAAAATATCGTAAAAAGATAAAGATAAGTTATTATCTTTGGAATATGTCGATAGAGAAAAAAAATGTTTTTTAAGTATAAATAAGTCAGAGTTTATAGTTGATAGATAATAAAATTTTGAAAGAAAACTTTTCTCTTCTCTCTCTCCCGTTTTTTTTTACTTTTTGCAAGTTTTAAAAGAGAAGAAGAAGAAGAAGAAGAGAGTCTCTTCGAGAGACACGAAAGAAGAGATTTAAGATGAAGGAGAAGACTCAACGACGTCTGCCTTAGACGTTGTGTTGAGTGCCGCGAAAGCGAAAGGCAAAGCCCGGAGCCTTGGCCGTTCTAAACGATCCCAGATGCCGTTCGAGAGCCATAGTGGTTTCTCTTCCTATGAAACGTGTACCAACCAAGAAGACGAGTTCATCCGATAGACCAGCAAGCAGCTATTAAATACATGCCGTGCACGTTTCCAGGAAATCGAAAGTGTATAGGAGGGAGAGAGGTGGTGGGGAGGAAGAATTCATGAGAAATAATCTTTTTCATGATCAAAAGAATTAAACCGAGAATTTATCGTTATAAATAAAAATATATATATATATTTATTTTCGATAGATCGCACTAAAGTTCTTTTGCTAAAAAACCTGAAAAGTTCTGGAAGCACGAAATTTTAAAGTTATTATATTATTATATTTATTATGTAATAAATATATAACAAAATAAAACTTAAATGGGTAGCATTTCAATCTTCCGTCAAAATCGGCATGAACTTTTAGGACAAACCAATAGAAAAATTACGTAATCCTATTTAAAAATTAAAAAAAAAATATTATGTTATAATAGTAACATATCATGTAAAGTTTATAATATATTATTATATATATATATGTTTATAATTAAATTATAATTCAAATAATATTTTTATATAATAATTTATATAAATATTTAATTATTTATTTTCATATTTATATAAATATTTAAATTATTTATTTAAATAAATAATTTATATAAATAAATATAATAATATATATTATTATGTATTTATTTATCATATTATATTAATATATTATATATAAATAGATTTCAATCTATATTAAATTATTATAAAAGAAAAATAATATGTTGATAGTAAACAAACAAGGAAACATTTTAATTATAACTGAAAAAAGAATATAAATGATGTTTGGGTGGAAAGGTTGATTGAGTAAAAGGGTTACGCACGATTACGTTGGACGTGACGCGTTGCGAACAAGATTACGCGTGGCCGCTGTCAAGAAACAGTTGGAGATGTGCACTACGAATGACTTCTCAATTCGATTCCTTTCTCTCTTTCTTACATTCACTCTTACTATACTAATCGAGGTAGAGAGAACAAAACGAAACAAAACGAGAAGAAAAGAGACAAGAACGAAACGAGAAGATCGTGTGTTCAAGATCGAACAGGCCATAAATCTATCTGCTTGTATTCGCGTCTTGAGTTCTTAAGTTTCTGTTTTCTTCCTTTCCTATCCTTCCTTCCTTTTCCTCTCTTTTATCATTTCTTTCTTTTTAATTTATTTTATTTTATTTTATTTACAACAGTCACGAATATTATTACCTTATAGAAACATACTAATACTTCTATAAATTCTCGTTGCATAATACGAATACGAATTTCTTAGTTAGAAATTATTTTTTTAGTATATTGAAAATACTTTCGAGTATCCTTTCGATCAAGAAAAATAAATCATTATAATACAATTGTGTACTAATCAAAATATCTTTTATATTATTTAATCTCTTTGATCGTTTGTATTAAAACTAATTTTAATTTCGAGTAATAATATGAAATTATTATTATTTTAATTTAATCAGCGTTGATCATATTTCATACAAAGCTGGGATAAGAAACACACATACACACAAAACATAGAGAGAAATAAGGAATCATATTCTATAGACTATAAGAAGAGAAAGATAGATAGATAGAGGGATGAATAGAGATAGACATATACATATATATTATATATATACATAGATATGGAAGAGGGATGCGCTAGGGCTGACTTAATGAAATTATGCGTTTGGAATTAATTGCGGGTAAGTTGGATTCGTCGTCCACTATACCCGGTTGTAATTAAATTAGCATGGCGAAATGGTCCGCGTGCTAAATGATTGTGTAACGACGCGAACGTGAGCACGCGAGAAACTCTTTGCAAACGACACGACAAAATTGCTTTCCATTCTACGTTAGCCGTTAATTTATTATTAAGTATCTCACTCATTCTCTCTTTCTCTTTCTTTTTCTCTCTCATTCTCTTTCTCTCTCTTTCATTTTTTCTCGATCCACCTAACTCTCTTTCAAACAAGGGAATATATCTCGTCAAATCATAAATCGTCAGTTTTATATGAACAAATTAATTTAAAACAACTACTATTATTACCAAGAAATAATATATCAATAAATTGTATTTCTTTATTGTTCGATTGGTTCATTACAAATAATTATATTCTCACTTATATATTTGATAATAATAATTATAGGTGTTTTTTTTTTCGTAACAGGAAATATACAATAAATCGTATTTATTTATTGTTCGATCAATATTTATAATATTTAAAAATAAGAATTGAATTATTTAATCTATTGATTGATTTGAAATAATTATATTCTATTTTATATATTTGATAATAATATTCATCGGTGTTTCTTTTTCGTAGAAGTGACCTGTCGATCTTCGTCAATTTGCACGTTGAAAATTGTCAATTGATTCGTAGAAAACCTTTTTCTCCTTCTCTCTCTCTTTCTATCACACACAGTCGATCTCTTTTATTCAACCGAACGATATCGATTGTCATACACTTATACACCTATACATCTGTATATATATATATATATATATACACATTTATCTATCTTTTGAATCAATCGCCTGGGGAATGAAGATTGATGGGTCGTTTCATACGAGTTCATAGAATGGGGTGTAAATTGTTCGAAGTATTCATCGGTTGGACAAACTTAAATCGATATAATCCTATAGATCTTATCGAATATTGTTAAATTAATCAGACATAGATGAAAGTATAATGAAAATCAAGATATAAAAAAAAAAGAAAAACAAAACAAAAAGTGAATGAAGAACAAATAATAAAATAAAATATAAAAGTTCAAACACGCTCGATTGTTTTTAACGAAGTAGAAGAAGAAAAAAAAATAAAATATCGAGAAAGTAATGAAAAAAGACAAATAAAAAAAGAAAAAAAAAAGAAAATGAAATAAAATATAAAATAGTATAATATAGGGGAGGGAGGGGGGCCTCGATTAAATGTAATGTCTCGTTTATGGTTGTGTTGCACATACCTAGGATTCGATTTGGAAAGAGCTATTAATGTTCATTCGCATCGTTCGACGAGTGCATTCCTATTATGGTGAATGACGGTGAATGCAAGCGATGCATTTAAACAGGAGCGCCAGGCACAGACACAAGGCACTGGTACAGACACGAAAAGGCTTAGGCGACTATATTATCGGCGATTCCCTTTTGAGCCAATCATTTACGCTCGACTAAGTTTCTACGAGAGAAGGGAGAGAAGACTAGGTTTCGTGATAGATTAAATTGACAGTGCGCCCTGTCTTCGTTCCTACCATTTCTTCCTTTCTCTTTCTCTCTCTTTCAACCCCCCTACCTCATCCCTTCCTATCTCTCTTTCTCTTTCTCTTCTAAACGAAGTCGTTAGAGACGCGAGAATTTCTTGGAACGCTTTCAACGTTTCCATCACGGAGGTGTTCATGTATGTATATAGATATATAGTAGTACTAGACAACTAGTATCTATCTATGTACAGTGAGTTACAAAAATATTTCGATTTATCTTTCAAATGATTCATATAATTTTTCTTTTAATATTATAAAAAATGAAGCTACACTTATTATATATATATATATAATTCTGTATATTTGAAACATTTTCGTAATTATTTAATTACATTTATTTTAATTACAATAATTTTTTAATTATTCTTTGATCATATAATAATTGTACTTAACTTTACAATGGGTAAAGTTGCAATAATAGGAGAAAAAAAAAGAATTGATTTTATGTTTTTTTGTTGTTGTATATATTACGAACAAAACATATTATAATAAAAAAATTAATTTATTTTGATCTAGATGAATTTTATAATTACTCAAACATATATATATACATACATATACTTTATATGTAAGAAAATTATATAAATACATTAAAGTTAAAAACTTATTGCTTAGTTTGACGAACAAAGAAATAAAACGGGGGCTGGATGATGTTCGGAATTAAACTTCAAGTAAACGAGCTTGGAACGCAATAAAAAGTGTAACTTCGCTACTGAAAAGAAAATAATAGCGTTAAAGTGTGTACGTGCGTGTACACACCTGTGCGTGAGCGTAAACGTATAAGAGGAGGAAACAGAGAAAAATAGAAAGAAAAAAAGAAAGTAACAAAGTAACGGTGGCATTCGATGTTCAAACGCAAAACTACTACTTGCCGCCATTATCGTTTTATTCAACAAGCGTAATATCAAGAACGTATTAACTCTTAACGATGTCCTTTACAATGGAAAATGCTTCGAAAAGGACTACTATGTTGCTTTGCGCGCCAGCT